TGTGATCTACACACCTGGGAGGCCCCTAAAAACCCATGGCCGGCCAGTAATTGTTAAATTACTTTTTTACCCCCCTCTTCACATGCAATGTTGAACACCTTGGAGCCAGTGTTGCCAATTTTCAACCACATAGCTGTGATCTACACACCTTGGAGGACACCATCAGTTGGTGGCCGGCCATTAATTTTTCAGGCCATTTTTCTCCCTTGGCCGGCCGGCTAGGTGGTGTGGCCGGCCAGCCACCTGCAGCAAAAGTAACCAGCCGGCCATGCTCCCCTCACTGTTCCCTTTACAGCTGTGAAGCTCTATCCCCCAGAAAATATCTTTATCCGGGGGATATTTTGTGGGGGAAAATTTGTCTCCTTTTCCCCCACCTTTACACCACCTTTTTGGCCCATATAACCAGCTGGTGGCATCCTAGATTGGGGTTAGAAAACTTCACCTTCAAGCTTCCATACACAACTCCATCTCTATACCTCTCATTTCCTTGAAAATCTCTAAGTCCCTAAGCATCATTTCTTCTACACCACCAAGCTCTACCATTACCACTTCATTTCCAGCAACAAGGAAGGTTTCTCAAAGGCTAAAGGAGCTGCAAATTGGTCCAAGAATCAACAAAAGCCTTTAGTCTTCAAGGGTGAGTAATATTTCCTCTCTTTGACCATTTTCTTGATCTATTTGTGAACCCCATATGCTTTTTGTTTCAAGCTCCGGACCTAACTGAAAAGGGCCCTCTTTTGAGCTCATATTCACTTTTCATTAAGGGCTCAACCCTGTTTGAGCCCTCCATGATGCACTTGCTTCATTGATCCTCTTATATGTCATAATCTTGCATGCTATTTTTGCCCCATGAGAAATCTGTTTTCGAGCATGTTGTAAACTGATATCAGGCTTATTTTGAGCCCCTCTTCAACATTGAAGAAGGGCTCAACACTATTTGGGGCTTCCATGTTGTACTTACCTTTTTACTCCTCTTTTGGTCCCATTTTTTGCATGCAATGGCAGCCTACCATGCTTTTGTTTTTGGCCATTTTATAGTTCTGAAAAAGTTCTTATTTTGGTCCATTATTCATATTTCATTTAGGTCCTTTCATGATTTGGGGCCTCCATATGTCACTTGTAGTTATATCCCTTATTTGGCCCCCATTTTTGCATAGATTGGCAGCCCTCTTTGCTTCTGTTTTTGGCTTTTTCACAGAACTTAAAGTGGCCTTATTTTGGCCTATACTTCATGTTTCATTAACATTCTTTTTCTTTTTGGTGATTATTTTGTATACTTCATGTTTTAGCCACTTTTGAGCTTCATTTTGCATGGCATCTTAGGCATACTTGTATTTTGTTTTGGAGTTTTTACAGTTCTGTAAATATGCATATTTTTGGTCCCTCATCAATGTTGTAGAAGGGAATTTTTTAGTTTGGGCATTGTATATACCACTTGCCTCTTTGGCCCCCTTTTGGTCCATTTTCTTGCATGAGAACTTAGCCTTACTTGTGCTGGTTTTTGAGGTTTTTATAGTTCTAGAGAAGATCATATTTTGGGCCCCTCTTCAACTTTGTTGAAGGGCCCGAACCTTTTTGGGGACAGAAGCTATGAGTTGCTTCTTAATCTCATGTTTATTCCCCATTTTTGCATGCTTGTTTTACCCTGTTTGTGTCCACTGTTTGGCCATGCTATAAACTGGAAAAGTGCTTACTTTGGGGCTGCCTTGCTTCTGTATTTACATTCCATGTCCATATTGTGCATGTTTGGCATAGCTTTAGGCCATTCGGGGTGCCATAATCCATCTTTCGGGACTTTTTCATGCATCGGGTGTGTTTTCGCCTCATTTCGGGGCTGTTTTCCCTCATATTTTAGTACTGAAATTTCATTAGAATGATTGCGTTGCATTTTCCATGTCATTTGCATCGCTTTTGCATTGCCTCAGTTTGCGTGCCCGTGTGCACGCATTTCGAGGCACTTCATTTTCTGTTATCGGCATCTTATGTGAGTGTGGCTGAGGCTCTCTCATGTTAGTATAAGTCCATGTTGCATTTTTCATGTCATTTGCATTGAATTTGCATTACCTCGGTTTGCGTGCCCGTGTGCACGCATTTCGAGGCACATCATCATCTTGCATTCTGTATGCTATTTCCATGCTGTTGCGTTACATTTTCCATTTCCTCGGTTTGCGTGCCCGTGTGCACGCATTTCAAGGCATCTCATCTGTATCACCTCGGTTTGCGTGCCCGTGTGCACGCATTTCGAGGCATATCATTTTCATAGCATTGTGCATACTAGGTTGTATCTTAGATTGCATTCATACATCACCTCGGTTTGCGTGCCCCTTGGCACGCATTTCGAGGCATATCATTTTCATAGCATTGTGCATACTAGGTTGTATCTTAGATCGCATTCATACATCACCTCGGTTTGCGTGCCCCTTGGCACGCATTTCGAGGCATATCATTTTCACAGCATTGTGCATACCATGTTGTATCTTAGATCGCATTCATGTATTTTCTCGGTTTGCGTGCCCGTATGCACGTATTTCGAGGCATCTCTTTTTCATAGCATTGCGTATGTTAGGATTGTATC